GTATAGATGGACTTGGCAGTGCTGGGTTAACGGTTGGACTCGATGATCTTAAGGGTCTTTTCCAACCCTAACGATTCTGTGATAACAACACAAATGCCCAGAGACTCCCCACCTTCCTTTCTAACACAGCCAGCCTCTCAGTGCTGACATGGAAGCTGTGTTGGCGTCTCAGCCCATGCCGATGTCTCTGGGAAACCATACCAGGGGGTCATGAAGGAGCAGAACAAGAAAGGCAAGGCCAAGGATCTCCCTGTCATTCCTGACAGCCCTTAGTCCCCTTGTATGCAAGGGATCCCCCTTTCCCTGGGAGGTACCATGGGAGCGAAACGCAGCCCCTTTGAGGGGACAACTCCTTAGGAGGCTGGGTTTCTCTTCCACGGCACGTCCAGAAAATAATCCAGAACATTAATGAAGAGGTTTGAAGGAGTGTGCCTGGGGACACAGCCAGGAAAGATCCCACCCCAGGAGGTCTCTGCCTGTCAGGAGCACTTGGAGCTGTACAAACACAGATTTGCCAGCTGAGCTCAAGCAGCCCTTCAAAATCCCTTTGGGTTTAAAAATCTCGAGAATTGCCTCTTCATTGGCCCACTTTCACACACACCCTCACACAAGCCTTTGCTGAAAACCCAGGCTGATGTAAATGCATACGGGTAAATACATACCGTTATGGCTGAAATAAGCCAGGGATGCTCTGCCGGCTTATGCATACGGGTAAATACATACCGTTATGGCTGAAATAAGCCAGGGATGCTCTGCCGGCTTGCAGGCTACTGAAATACTCCTGGGGGCTCAGCTCCTGCAGCAGCCTCGCGCTTCCCTGCGTTGGGATGGAAGAAGCACAGAAGAGCAGAAGAGAGAAGGAAAAAACCCATCTGGCCTTTTGGGCTGGCATGGCTGTTATCGGCTACAGGCACGGGAGAGTCACAGCTGGGGAAAAAAGTCAAAAACATATACATATATACACAAACCTATATACGAGTGTCTTCTGTTTAGATAGGTGCAGCGTGACTGTAATTTCCAGATGTGACACAAACATCTCAAGGACGTCATGAATTAGTCACTAGAACAGCAGGTGATTCAGACAACTGTAAAGATGATAGCAAAGGCTATTCCCTTTCCTTGAGCGGTATTTGCAAGTGCACGGCCCCTCCACGCTTTCAGTTTAGGGCTGTTTTTCTTCCCTATTTTTTTTTTCTTTTGAGTCAAACAGAAATTACGCATGCAGGCAGAAAACAGTGGCCCTATCATACAAAAAAACCCACCCAAACTGTCTCAATTCTTGTTAAAAAGCTTTGAGGATGCCACTAGCCTTATATGTGCCACTGAAAGAGGTGTTCGCAAAGGGACGGGCCATATTGCCCACTTCAGACTGTGCCAAATGATGCGGGGAGGTTCAAGAGCCCTCCTCTGGTGCCTGCACCATCTCTCTGTCATTCGAGGTTTCAGCTACGCCATATGGGAGAGGGGTTTGTGCAAACTCCTCAGGCTTGTCATGCCTTGCTCGGTCCAGCCTCCCAGTACTCTGACCTTGGTGGCACGGGAGCAAAGCCGTGACCCACGTCGGGCTGCAGGGCAGTCCCGGCAGCCTCCCTTCCGCGCCAGGTCTCTACGTGGAGCTGGTTAGGAAAGGAGCCAAGGAAATTTGTGAGATGCTTCAGAGAACGGGGCAAAGACCAAGCGTGCAAGTCTGCTGCCAGGGTTCACCAGCAGTCCTGCCCAGGCTGCCCGGCCGCAGCTGATTAACTCTTCTTGCTCAGATTAAGAGGCTTAGGAGAGCTTCATGTGGACAACCACCACAGGATGAGAAAACACCTTCTTCCCACTTCATTCCCCTGTTTAATACCAGGTTCCTTCACAGCTTGCTCTTCAGGTGTTGGTCTTTGTGGCTGAGTGTGCTGGAGCATGGCTGGTCCCTGATCAACGATGAGCCAAAGCTGGAACTGAAGCAGCGTAGAAGCTGTTTGCTTTGCATCATGAGCTGCAGCTGTTTGCGTTAACAAAGGCCCCTGTGTCCATGGACTGTCATTCCCTCCAAGCCCCTGTCAGATGCTGTCCGCTTGCTATTGCTGCTCTGTGACGAACCCAAACTCAAACGCTCAAAAACAAGGAGGCAAAGTCCCTCCGCCTTGCTCCACGGGCAGGGAGTTAGGGAAAGCCGGGCACGCTCAGGCTCCACAGCCTCCCTCTCACGTAGGTGAGGTGTTTGCATCAGGCCTGAACGGCACAAAGGAACAAAGACAGAGCTGAGAAAGGCATGAATTTTTTTCTTTTCATTGGAAAATCTCCGCTTCTCTCCTTTCTAGCTTTGGGAAGTGCCAGGCATTTCTGGTCCTTTGCCCTCCCATCTGTTCCTCTGGCTTACAGAGGGGACAGAGATCGGGGTGGGGTGGGGGGGGATGTTTATTAAATGACAAACTTGGCTACAGCAGGATGGAAAAATAACTTCAATCCTGGCATGTGGGAACCAGCCCAGGTCAAATGGGAGAGCTTACTGTCAAGGAGGCAAGAGGAGCAGCTTCCAATGACTCAAAGACTTGACGGCATTATACCTGGAGGAGGGTGCCAGCAGTTTAAAACACAACTCCAGCCTCTACCCAGCCCCGATCTCTCTTCATGTCTCCTCTGGCTCTTGCCTTCACCTTCTGCCCTCTCCGCATCCCTGTGTGACTGGTGCTCTTCTCCTTGCACCCCTCCCAAAGCCAGCGCTGTCTGCCCCACCACGACCCCCCGCTCCTCCCCATGCCCCCTCACTCTGTCCCACCACCCTCGGCCCCGCTCCTCCCCGTGCTTTTCTCGCCCTTTACACAAAAACGCGTGCCCATCCCTTCCCTACCCATGTCCTCTCCCCTCCTCACTGCCCCGTCCTGCCCAGCAGCTTCCCCCTGTGCCCCATCAACCCAAACCTGAATATTCAGCTTTTAGGTCATTTCCTCCGCCACCTCTTTTCCATCAACGGAAAATTAACACCATAGGGTTGGAAACAGCCAGAATCCCGTACCGCAGCCACTGGCAGGATTACCAGAGATGTGTGAAAATACCAGGGATGTGTGAACCAGCTCTGTGTAACTGCTGGGAAACCCCTAAGCCCACGGGCCATGGGGCAGCCCAGCACAGCATAGATGGTATGCAAGACCTGGTTCATGTTTTTACTGTCATACCTCCAAGATAGAGCCAGGCAAGGTGGTTAAGGCCACTGTAGATGACCTAAAATGAAACCAAATACACCAGAGACACCCAGCACAAACTCTTGGATTGGCATAAATTGCTTGTGCCACCTCAGTTTTGCTTGGGAATGCCGCAGTGGTCACCACGGGCTGGGATCCCTGCATCGCCTCCGTGAGCCCAGCTGCCTTCCCTGACGCCTGTATTTATTACTGAGGAAGCTGCAGCACATTTCATTCAACGGAGGGTGATGTGGGGTGGCTTTTAAGATACACAAGGCAAGGAAGAACCACTGTCCTGGACTGCACAGCCAGCCGGGTACCATCTCCATCATCCATGGGCCCCCCTGAACCCAGGAGAGACACGACCAACCTGGGCTTCAATGCCAGTGATGTAGAACTGCCCGCATCCCTCAGCAGCGTATTTTCCTCCCGGTGATCAATTACCTTCTTACAAAAAACCTACACTTTATGTCTGGTCCAAATACGTTAGACTGCTGCTTCCCCTTTGTTTTATCTCATATGGGTACCTTCCCGCCTGCAGAGCCCTCAGTTAGCAAGTTTTAACTCCCTAGGTAGAGGTTCCTAAACCAGGAGCATTTAGGATGCTCCGAAATGGAGTCACTTCAGCCTCTCCTGTGATGATCGACACAGATCAGGCCTTTTGTTGCAGCAGTTCATTCACCCCGCACCCAGCTGGTACGTTTTTTTGGCAGCCGTGCTCGCCCGCCTTTGATGCCCTTCCAGCAGCCGTTAACCAGCATGCTGCCCTCCCAGTTTTGCTGGCAGAGGGGACACATAACAGCCCCCAAATCCACGCGCGGCTGACTCAACCCCTTAGCTACAGCAAGCTAAACAGGCTGAAGCACTCTCCCCGGCACGGCTGGATGCCCCAGCCCAGATATGCCTGCTGCTGAAAAATGCAAGGGAGAGCATAACGCTGACGGCTCTTCTTGCACTTTGGACTGTGCACACAGGTTTCCTTTAGCGGATCCAGAAAAACTCCCTGAAAAGCTCTCTGTTCCAGCCTTCTGCTCTGCGGGTCCACGTGAATCCCTCCAGCCATACGTCACTGCCCGACCAGCAAGCCCTTCCCAAATGCATCCAACTTGCTTACGGCCAGCTTGTCTGAAGATGGAAGCTGTCCCAACAGCTGTATTGTCCGCAAATTTCTTTTCTCCTGAAGAGATGATAAACTGGCTCTTGAGGACCAAAGAAAGCATCCCTGGGATCCCACCGAAGCATATCTGGGTGACGCTGACTCTCCGGTGACAACCCGCTACGTGAAACCGTCCCCCTGTGGCCACTTCACCGCCTGGGGGGGCCAGGTTTGTCCTGCGGGTTTTTAATTCATCAGAAGACCACGCCACTCCAAGCCACGCGCCTGACAACTGTTGACACGTACCGCTGACAACTGCTGAAATACTGCTTATGGCAAGCAATATTTAAGTCTTCTTTTTCTCCCGGGTGAGGTTATGTGGTAATTTTATGGAATCCTACGGCTGCCCGGCAATAACCTCACTTCCTTACCAGATACTGCATTGTTTTGCATATTTTTTCACTGCACGCTCCCCTTCCCTGCTCACCTTTGAAAAAGTGGCCAGCACCAGCTTTCTCCTAAGCAGCAGACAAGTCAGGTTAATTATCACTACCCAGTTTTGCTGGAACAGAGCTCAACCCAGCTGCTTTCAAATCTTCCAAAAGCAAGTTCTTCGACCTGGCTGATTTGAACAAGGCCAAGAAGCTGCAGTTCCCCAGCGTTTGGAGCTGGGACAGAGCTGAGATTGTTCTCCATCGCTTTGGGATGGGCCTGCAATCATCGGTCTGAAATACCTGCTGGCATTGCCCACCCGTCCCTTCTCCCCAGCAGCCTGCGGAGGAGGCAGAGCTTGCAAGCTGCCACCGCGAGGCCCCTCCAGCCGTGTCCCTCCATCGTGTGCTCCCGTGGTCGTGACCCTACAGCTGCGGGAAGCTGTTTCCACCCGCGTTGGACACCCCGACGAGTCTCCCAGCCAGGCTGTGATGGACCCCCAGCAGACTCCTGCAGTGCTTCCAGCCAGAAACCAGAGCCTCGCTGCAGAGGTATTTATCCTGCATTTATCCACAAACGCTGTTTCAAGCCGGAGCGTTGCCAGGCCTTTTGTGCACAGGCGGGCACACTTTTCAACCGGCAGCGTTTTAAGGACGTTGCAGATTGCTGTGTAATCAGTCCGTGGCGCAAATCCGCGCCGGGGCGGCTCACAAAACCAGAGGCACATCTGGCACACCATGTCGGATGATAACGGAGCTCCGCTCTGCGCCGTCGCCTCTCCCCCAGCCTGACCCCCTGCACCAGAAGTGCCTGATTTTCAGGGCAAATGCGAGATACGGGCCTGCAGTCAGGGGACGAGGGTGCCTACGGGGGCGGCTGCGGCGAGCAGCACTTCGCAGCGCGGCGATCCTTCTCGAGGATCAGCAGCAGAGGTGGGAAACACATCGACATCAAAGCGCATCCCAGCCCAGCGCCCAGCTTTGCCTTGCTGGTTTTTTTGCAGTGATGCTCCCACGCTGCCCCATCTCCAGCCACTTCCCGGAGAGTTTCACTTTCATTTTCACTTCCAGGTCCCACTTCCCAGCACCCAGTAGCCCTGCTGGGCCTCGCTTGCTAGCCAAGGCTGCAGGAGGGACATGCTGCAGCCGTTCCCTCTGCGTGCACTGGGAGAGGAGCGCTTCGATGCCCGTGCACCCGTCACCCACTGCTGCTGCACCGCTGCCCCCATTTATCTGTCCCTAGGGACCAGCCCCCCGAAGTCCCTGGAAAGCCGCTGGCACTGTGCTGATGGACATTGCTGAGCTGCCTCCAAGGTGGCTTAGGGATGTCACCTACCTGGGTGTCCTGAGCTGAAGTCCTTGTCCCTCCACCACAGCTGCTAGCAAAGCATCGCACATCCAGGTCTCCCCTTGGCCCCAGCAGTCCCCCGAGGCCGGCGGCCCAGCTGCACGGCTGGAGAATCCGCAAGGCGGCCTCGTCCTACGCACTGGCAACGGGATGCCAAAAATAAAGCTGGCGGCTCTGTGCCAGCCCGGCCCTTCCAGCGGTGGGATCTCTTGGTGGCAGGGGGTCTCCGCTACGATCCCTGAGCTCTCCCTACAGCCATAGGGATCGCTGCCCATATAGCAGGGTCAACACCGGAGACCCAACCTGCACCTACCGCAGCGGGGTCTCCTCCCGCACACCCCCGCAGGCTGCTGGGGGTGCTCAGATCCCCCCCGACAGCTCCAGGGACCCCTCTAGGAGACCTCCCTGCTTCCTGCAGGCACCCCGGACCTGTCCCCGCAGCGACAGCGCTGCTCGGGCCGACCCCACGAGGCGGAGGCTCTCTGCTGGGGGGGGGACCCCGGAGCTGCCCCCAGACGCTCGGGGCT